TTTTTTTTTTTTTTTTACTTCGCGCTTGGGGCGCGTGAGCCACTTCCAACATAGGGGCGCTTAAGACGGTCGCAACGCCTCCGGGTACGCGGCCTGCTCCGTTAGCTTAGTCACCGGCAACTATCGGGACAAATACAGAACTGGCTGCGGTCGTGCGTTTGTCCTGGTTGTGAACGCAATTTAGCGTCGTCTCTAAAGGCACCTGCATCTTTGACACTATGCGTAGATTTAAATGATAACCCAACGACATAACTATCGCCTCTCGTGAAATGCTCCTTCCGGTAACGCGATAGGTCGAGCGTGACGCGTCTCATACGAAGGACCGTTATAATAACATAAATTTTTGCAGATGCAGGTGTAAGGATATCGCAAGTATGATTTACTGTACAAGAATCATACGAGTCAATTAGCGTGTATTTTGAAAATTTATGCTCTACATGCGACTTCAACACAGCGGAACTCATTTCGTTCAATGCTGAATGTCTTGTTTAATGCATTATTAGGATTGTCAATAATCGTATTAAATAATGAATAAAATTAAATATTTTAATGACGTGGAACTTTGAATTTTACATTGCTCATTAACAGTTAATATTACAATCATTAATATATAATATTAATAGTAAATTTTAATATATTAAATGTTCTGCGAAAGTGCTTCGAATTAAAAAAAAACAATTTGTAGTACTTTTTAATTAAAAAAAAACAATTTGTAGTACTCTTTTTGCATAATGCTTCGATCGATACGAATCTCGGAGCGTTAAAAAACAGAACAAAGCATAAACTTTCGTTATGCGTTACATGCACGATTAACCATTGTTATTCACGCCTGATTACCAAAAAACAGTACAATGCTGGTCTCACCGAGCAATTATTTATCGCTTTATGAAGCAGTGGCGTTTGCTAAATGCATCAGCAATATTATCGCGATTATTTTAGTCCTTGCATAATGTGCATATACATATGTATAATAAATTATATACATACGTCTTTGTGTTTTTGAAAAATATAAAACATGCATCTCATCATTCCGGTACACAGCGCATTATTAGCAGACACTGTCGCGTATCTTGATAAATATAATGAGCACAAATGTAATAAGCTTGAACAAAACTTTTTATATAAAACTTTTTCTCTGTCCGACAGTCTGGATTTATCTCTTGAAATATCGATACACTTTTTTTGATACTCTATACAGCTTACTGACCGCCACAAACTCTGATATATTTATAAAGTGCGCAACGATTTATACGCTAGCTCTCCATTAAAGCCGCTTCCATCTATGTCATGCTGAATATCAGCTGACAAAAACGCTCTCTTCTCATCGCCGCATCGACACGGATTAACGGCCGAGTATCCACTCGGCTAGTTTATCGGTGCTTCCCTATTATCGCGCACCAACTCTTTCACTGGTTACGCTAAAACGCGACGCGTAATTTTGACTGCCGACAAAACACGAACGCCTCGGACTTAAATCCCACTCGCGAGCTGTTTCTTTTTTGCGACCGTCAGTCGCGAGCGTTGATTGCGGACGGCAAAACGCGTCGTAACGCGGTACCAGCCGGCCGGCCGGCAGGCCGGCGAGCGTGAAGAGAGAAATGGGAGAAGAAGGGCACGCGGTACCCGAACTTGCGTGCATCGTGCACAGCGGAGCATAACGCGGGGGCTTGCTTGGTGGTACCGGGGGGGGAACCGGTGACGGGGGCACGCGGTAACATGTTCGCGCCGGACTGCAGTTGGAAAGGGGATTGGGTTGGTCGGACCGGCATAAGAGATCGTCTGTGGGGAGAGAAGGGATCGTCGTCGACCGTGGAAGAGCGCGTCAGGGAGTCGGTAGATGGGGAACGGGGCAGAGGGTAACCGGCTGTAGAGGGGAACGCGGTGCGGAAGATCGGGAGAGCACTGAAGAACGTTGACTGGGGGGGGAAGGAGACTAAAGAGCGAGCGAGAGAAGAATAGGACCGTGCGCGTTATGTCGGAACACTCTGGCGAATGCGCAAGAGCAAGGGAGAGAGAGCGAGCTGAAGTGGTGGGGTAAGAGAGAAAGAGTGAGAGGCAAAAGCCTCCTAGGCTCGCCTTTCTCGGTGTCCGCCGAGGCGCGCTAGTTTCGGTTTGCCGCTCCGACGTGACGGACGTGTGCGCACAGCAGTTGCTCGCTTCCACGTGGGGGCAGAGTTTCGAACTGCTATCATCGATGTGTTTAATCGCGTGCGTTTCGCAGAGTCAAGCGGCGATGCTAAAGTGAACATATAACGCGCCGAGCTTCCCAAATCGCGGTTAACCGGGTGACAGTGAATCTATCAATGGTGGAATCATCGAAAAAAGATCGTTTCGTGTTCGCGATCGCCGCGCTTAACTCCAAAGTGCAGTGACACGGTTGTTTAATACGTTCGCGCGAGCGTCAGTGAGACTCGGTGGACAGTGGATAATACGTGGAATTTGGATTACAGGAAGCACAATTACGGAAAGGGCTGCGTCGCTGCGTGAGAGAGAACCGTCACCGTCGTCGTTGTGGGGATTGCAGCAAAAATAAGGTTAGTGTCTTTTCCTTTCAAGCGCTTCCTCGAACGTCTCTTTCTTCCGCGAGACAAAGGCGCATTCGATTCTCGCGAGCAGTACACCGGTTAGCGGTGTGAAATGTGTAAAACCTGCGTGAAGTGAGAAGGAAAGAGAAAGAGGAAATAAAATGTATTAAATTACGATCATGTGTTAAATTTCCGATCGCGAAATATGACGAAACAGGAGTACTCTCGCGACAATGATTCAATTTATTCAACGGCGTGAATTGAGCTGTTTTTTCTTTGCTCCGTTTTTCACTCTTGCCATGTTTTTTTCATTTCTCAGGCAAAATGGCGTCTTCGAATAAATCTCGTCAGTCTTCGCGATTTTTTGCACGTAAGAAAAAATGACGGAAAACGATCGATAATGATCGATGGAAATTTCGACTTAAAAGCTAGTTTATTCACGCGACGGTGATACTATACTCAAAGCACAAAATTGCTTTTAGTGATCAAAACTCACGTGGTGAAATATTTAAACGACGCGTTCCACGCGCGATTTCGATTGAATAAGTTTCGAAATAAAACTCGTGTGGTAGGTGAATGGTTTTTTTTATCACGCTTTTAAGAACTTGGTTTTTCGCGATACAAGCGTGCAAACTACATTGTATTTTTCCTCGAGATATTTAATTTACAACATAAAACTTTCTTATGAATTTATTTTCAATATCGGATTTTGTACATTTAAGCATAGTGATTTAAAAATTGTAGGATGTTGCTTTAACGCAATACTGTTTTTATTAATCTTTATTGCTAAACGAAAGAACATGATTTTTGATAATTTGTGGATGACGATTTATTTAATTTCGCTCGCCGTTTGATTCTCGTCTCTTTCGGTTGAAAGTGTGAGGACCAAAATGTCGTTCATTTTTATCTAAATTTAGTTAGCCCACACGTTGATAAAAATCCGTGTACATATTTTTTTCGTGGTTTATTTTAATACGCGGTACGGTACGTAAATTCATTTTACATCGTTCGGTACAATTTGTTTAACTCTGCGCTTTTTACGTCGAACTGGATGTATATAATAAAAAAACACGCTGTACGCTTAAATTATTATTCATGAAAGTTATTGCAATAGTAATCGTACCGATAAATTTCTATAGTCATATACTATTACATGAGTGAAAAAATGTTGTGTACAGAGAGAGAGCACGGCTTTATTAAAATAAAAATATCTATATTATGCATTGGAATTCTCATGCATCATAAATAGCATGTATATTAATTTTTATATAATTGAACTTGTTTTGATAGTAAAAATCGACTTAAAAAGAGATTCAAATTAATTAAAAATGGAGAACAATTGAGATTTATTTTGTTTTTGTAAAATTTGATTCGAACATATAAAGAGGACGCGCAAACATATTCTTTTTCGCATAGATTATGCATTGTTTATGCATAACCTATATAATCCGTTTATAAATAGGTATACTGTATCTATATTGCATATTGATGAGATTCCAATACTGTAGCAAACGATTCAAGTAGCTATTGCTACAATATATTACTGTCTGATTTTAATTCTGCTCGTGTCCAATTTTAAGAATTTTAACTTCAAAATTTTTTGCTCCGTGCAGCGACTAAAATATTTCGATGTTATTCGGAGTAGCATCTCGCGCGTTTGTTTTGTTGGCATCAATGTTTATATGCATATACGCATGTGTGAGTATCGGGAACGCGCTCCGAGTCTACGTACAGTGTCAACAAACCGATCGGCGGGCGACGAGGACGCCTCGGCCTCTCGTTCGTAGCGCCGTGTGTACATCGAGGCTCGGTGATTCGTGGAAGGAGGGGGGGCTCAAAGGAATTCTTCAATTGTGCATCGAAGCGAGAATAAAGACGCGGGAAGTCGTCGCTCCCCCTTGCTTTTACCGAACGATCGCGCACCATTTTCCTACAGACGCATAATGACTGTTTTTCCGCTGCGGCCGCTGTATCAGCGAGACGTCTTTAACACGCTAGAGAAAGCAATGGGTCTATAATTGGAAGCTTTCGTGTTTCTTATTTTTATTTGACAACCGTCATTACCTTGCAACAATAACAGTAGAACGGAAAAAAATATACGAATAGCATAGCGAACAAAATCAAATTCTCCGAAATTTAAATGCGGTGTAGGTGATGATGGCGTTCAGTTTTTAGTGATGATCATAAGGCCTACATTTTACCGTAGTTTATCGCATTGTCGATTTTTCGAACGACGAAAATCCTTCAACATATTTTGCGGCGGAGAAACGAGTTTGATGCTCGGTGAGAAACCAGTTCTTTCTTCATTTCGTCCTTGAAAGGTAAAACATTGGGTGGAATTTGTCGGAAAGTCTACTGATTTTGCTTCGAATGTACTATAAGCTTACTTATAGGAGTATTATACCCATATTTATTTTAAGTATGAGTTATGCTACTCCCAAAATTAAAAGTATAAAAACGATATTAAAGGAAAAGGAATAAGATTCGGCTCGCTCCAATCTGGACGCGAATGTGTTCATTAAGGACTACGATTTGTAGTTGAAATCGTAATTTAATACGGTTAAGTGATATCGCTATCCTGTGTGGCAAAATGTAGCAGGTGTGTACTACGGTAACCGTCGTAGTAACGAAGTAAGCAGTTCAAAGTAAAAGTTTGCGCGACGCTTTTCTAGCGCCTTTGCGAGCGTCGGCCGTTATCGGTTTGCTGAACTTCGTGGTCTTTTTGTAAGTCTGCGGAGAATAAGAATGCGCTATTCGCGCTAGTGAAAAACGGTTGTACACTCAGACGCGAATCGTTCTAATCTCTCGCTTTAGAAGTTCTGACTAATATGTTAAAAAATAAAAGAAATAATTAAATAAAATCAATAATAGAAAACGCGTATAGATTAATTATTTCGTTCATTACGTTTATTTGTTTTTATATTCTCGTGAACAGAAAAATAGTTGACGTTACATCGCATTTGTGTATTGTTGAATTAACGTTCTTACTTCTTTTAACCGATACCGTGGTCAGTTTTATTCACGAAGCGTATAGCTTTCTAGTAACTATGCAACTCTGGCGTCTCGTTAAAAGTTCAGAAAGCCGCATTCGGATCGATGCAACAAAAGAATGCATATAATAAAGATATTTTTATAAATGTTGAATGAATAATCTTGATACTTTTTGAATATCTTTAAGTGTATAATAATTTTAAAGATTCGATTTTTCAAGATGCATCCTAAAGTAAATAGTTACAATTATTATCGACAAACAATCGACAATTGTGAGAGAGAGAATCGTGAAATAAATTTTTCACGTAAATTTTTCAGATGGAAAAATAAATAATTTCTCGAATGAATTTAGAAAACGCGGAAACTGTTAACTAATTTGATATTAAGTTTTTTCTTATGATTGTTTGCTTATTGAATGCGCAGCGTGTTACCGTCCCTTAATTATTACCTTTAAATACGTTAGCAAAATATTCATGTTGTAATATCATTGGTGTACAACACACAGATAATTCCCGTGAGTGCTTCGACTCGCTCCATTCGAATCTGCATGTTAACGCCTTTGTTAATTACACCTTGAGAGATTACGACGGGGACAGGTGGCTCCAACGATTAGCCATTGTCCGTCTTGGAAACACTGATTGGATAGGTGCGCCTAAGCATCGTCGATAAGTACTGATTAATGTACTCCGAGTGCAACATCGTGCCTGATCAAGGCATTTTAACTGAATGAAAAATTAGCCTATCTAGATAGAAAAAAACGGTTCTTTTCAAACGATTCTTTCATAATCGAAACTCACATGGCCATTCAAAAGGCTTCACGATTCGAACATTCCGGTTCTTCGACTGTCGTCCTATAATGCATCTATATTAGGTGTCCTGAATACCTTCGTATCATTGAAGAAACACTTTTCGAAGAAAGAAAAGAATAACATGTCGTGTAACTGTACGTAAATCATAACTGTTTATTTTAATGAAAGTAGATGACGTCTGATTAGCTCAATGACACGTACGGTATCGTGATTTTTTCAAACGAAAACAAATGGTCATTGTTGTCAGCGGATTTGAATATCAGAAGAAGAGAAAGAGAAGGAGCATTAGGACATTGCAGGCGCATTCACGCCTGTAGCGGATCGTAAACTCGAGAACGACGATAAATATGTCGGTAAAAGATTGTTCGAAGTAAAAGGCATAACGACATCCCACCGCTTGACGCGCAGGAACAGCTGCTGCGTTCTCCATCCTGCGGTCGGAAGACCCGGTGATCCTCGAGAGCGAAGCTAATTTTACGAAGGAAAGCGACCCGAGAGCGATAGAATCACTCGTTCAGCGCGCAGAGCTTAACTTGCAACTGCGTTTTTACGCTCGAGAACACCGTGCGTCGACTAGAACGCGATTCGGCGCGTATTTATGAGACCAGTCGTATCTCAATCTCAACACGCTGTCGCGCGTGGTCGTAAAGCAGCACGATGTATGCGCAAAACATTCCATCGTGTGTGCACGCATTAACGCATAGAGGCGCGTCCGAACGGTAAATTTATGATAACCGACTGCTTATGATAACCTATCGGAACTTTGCTCGTTGCAAAATTAAAGAGCCGCGGAGTGGGATGTTTGGTGTAACCGTTATTTTAATCTTGTTATATCTAGCAACATGAATTCTTGATCCGAGAAAATCACCATTTTATTTCAAGCCATTAATATGTAATGTTATCAGCAGTAGTAGTGATTAATATTCACGCATATATGAATAATGTCCGATAAATCAGTAAATTGCAATATTGATTTTAACTCGTATGCGCATATCAAAGCGGCCGGCTGGAGTTGTACATTACGGATTCAGACTAAACATCATTTTTCATACAACGGTAACGATGAGCGTCTCTATATATAAGCAAAACACAGGACGCAGTTCCCCCACTTCTTTCTGCTCCTCGTTCGTCTTTCACAGCGTGTAACGCACTCATTCGGCTCGAATATCACACCATCCGTGCACGTTTCCACCTCGCTGATTAATTTCA